AAAATTCTTTGATTAACTTGAACTTTTCCTATGGGAAATAAAGAAATCAAAGTAACATGATCAAATTTTTTATTTAGATACACATAAGTAAACGTACCTTGACATTTTCTATAATTTTTGCTGGATTTAGATCTGAATAAAATAGATCGCTATCAGACGTAAAATTAAGCTGTAATAAGACTGTAACAAAATCATAATAAAATTTAAAATTTTTAACGGTATTTTAGTATGATTTTGTAACAGTTTTATTATTGCATTATTTTACGTCTCTGACTAACAAATCCAGGTAAAAACAGGGACCCCTGGATTCCGGACACCAACTTTGTATCCCTGTTGTAAATACTTATAGTATATAAAAAATTTATAAATACTAACTCAGTCTCATTCCGATAACTTGAATTTTCAACGGGCCAAAGAAAATGGTTCGACTTTATGAATGTTCGACTAAAGCGAATTTGCTTTAAGTCGAATTTTAGCTGATATGAGATATTAGTTCCACAATTTTTCTTTATTCAATGCTAAAGTTCAAACATTAAACATGCAATATTTAATGTTTATACTTTAGTTTACTATTATACAAATAAAAGTGTGAAAAATGTATTCACGTTGTACACTCAAAAGATAATATTATTTGATAAAAATTTTATTAAGTTATTTATTAAAAAAAAAACTATAAAATAAAAAAACTATATAATAATTGCACTCCGGGACTTTTTTAATTTTATATCAGCAACTTTTCTTAACGAACCCTTGTTAACTTTTATAAGTTAACAAATTTATAAGTTAATAATTTAAGTCTATAAATTTAAAATTGTTCAGCCAACAGTTACGTAACTTTATACCTGTAAAAGCACAAACTACGCTGCGTATGGCAAACCCTCAAGCCAAGACGGAGGGCTTGTCATACACAGCGTAAGCCACATTTGAATATGCGGCAGATCTGCGAGCCAATTCTGATTTTAATTTATAGATAATAGCAGTTATCTCATTAACTTCAAACTCATCCTTCATAAGCAGGAGAACTTCTTCAGAAGTTCCCCTGCTTATGAAAGATGAGTTTCAAGTTAATGTCTTGTTGAGTTTCACCTTTACTACATCTCTTGTTGAGTTTGACCTTTTGTACGTTTGTCAATTGCAATCGTATCTAGAGCAGATTGAATATTCTTGTAACATTTCCGCAACTTGTTGCACCAGCATGTGCTTACAATATTGTGTCTGATGTATTTTAAGCATAGATGTCTTGTTTTTGGCTAGCACTATTGTCAGGATTATCCATCGATAAGTGGAGGCACTAAAGAGTTAGTAGATCCGTTGCACAATATCAAAAAAACTCACTGCTGCACTACAACAACATTTGGATTTTTATTCCTTTTCTCAAAAATTTTGTAGTTATTTTGTTTACAATTATTTGTGTTATAAGTTCTAAATTATCTTAGAAATAGAGGATCCCCTTTTTTTTGGAGACGCAAATGTGATACAAAGTACAAAAATATTTCAACATTCGTCACCCACCCCCACTCACCCCCACATCAAAAATTCCTGGTTCCCTCACTGAGCGAGAATAATAATAAAAGCTACAAAAAAAAAACTATAATAATTAAAACAAATCAATATTAATTTCCATACAACAGTCATTTATACGTACATAGTAACAGTTACAAACAGTAGGCCGGGTGAATAAAAATGAGCAATTGCTTTTACTCAGTAACTGGTCAGCTTTACATGAATAAAAACATAAGGAGTTTAGCTCAAATTTTTATTCACGTAAAGTTAAGCAATTTACTTAGCAACTATTCGGCATTACGTAAATAAAAACTTAGAGAAAATTTCTTAAGCTTTTATTCACGTAAAGCTGACCAATTACTGAGTAGAAGCAATTGCTCGTTTTTATTCACCCGGCCTAGTAATAAATTGACAAAACGTAACAGCTAGCGATGACGTACAAACGACTATTGTTAAAAAATTGTGAAGACTTAAAAATATAGTAATCATAACTGTTGTGAAATAATAACCACAGTACTTTGCAAAAATAATAATAACCAAAGTACTTTGCAAAAATAATAATAACCAAAGTACTTTGCAAAAATAATAATAACCAAAGTACTTTGCAAAAATAATAATAACCAAAGTACTTTGCAAAAATAATAATAACCAAAGTACTTTGCAAAAATAATAATAACCAAAGTACTTTGCAAAAATAATAATAACCAAAGTACTTTGCAAAAATAATAATAACCAAAGTACTTTGCAAAAATAATAATAACCAAAGTACTTTGCAAAAATAATAATAACCAAAGTACTTTGCAAAAATAATAATAACCAAAGTACTTTGCAAAAATAATAATAACCAAAGTACTTTGCAAAAATAATAATAACCAAAGTACTTTGCAAAAATAATAATAACCAAAGTACTTTGCAAAAATAATAATAACCAAAGTACTTTGCAAAAATAATAATAACCAAAGTACTTTGCAAAAATAATAATAACCAAAGTACTTTGCAAAAATAATAATAACCAAAGTACTTTGCAAAAATAATAATAACCAAAGTACTTTGCAAAAATAATAATAACCAAAGTACTTTGCAAAAATAATAATAACCAAAGTACTTTGCAAAAATAATAATAACCAAAGTACTTTGCAAAAATAATAATAACCAAAGTACTTTGCAAAAATAATAATAACCAAAGTACTTTGCAAAAATAATAATAACCAAAGTACTTTGCAAAAATAATAATAACCAAAGTACTTTGCAAAAATAATAATAACCAAAGTACTTTGCAAAAATAATAATAACCAAAGTACTTTGCAAAAATAATAATAACCAAAGTACTTTGCAAAAATAATAATAACCAAAGTACTTTGCAAAAATAATAATAACCAAAGTACTTTGCAAAAATAATAATAACCAAAGTACTTTGCAAAAATAATAATAACCAAAGTACTTTGCAAAAATAATAATAACCAAAGTACTTTGCAAAAATAATAATAACCAAAGTACTTTGCAAAAATAATAATAACCAAAGTACTTTGCAAAAATAATAATAACCAAAGTACTTTGCAAAAATAATAATAACCAAAGTACTTTGCAAAAATAATAATAACCAAAGTACTTTGCAAAAATAATAATAACCAAAGTACTTTGCAAAAATAATAAATGAATAAATAAAATATAAACTGAAACCAACAAAAAACACATGCAAAAAAAAAACACTTTACAAAAGAAATAACTTACAACAAACAAAATCTTGCAAAAAAAAAATAAACATAGTAATTAAAACATTTAACGTAATAAAGTTAACCAACAACAACTGATGTTAACAAAAAGCAGTACCAATAAAAATATATTTTTTAATTTTTTAATACTTTTTTTTATTTAACTGTTTTACTTTATCTGTGCTTATGTATCTTTTTCTAATTCTGAAACTTTCATTATTTTTTATTTGTTTGTTTTTTTGCCGTTGTAAAATGCATCCGCCATCGCGGAAGTCACTGTAGCGAATTTTAACTCTTATCTGAGTCAACTCGTGGCTGTTACGGAGTTTTTGTAACTGATGTTGTGTATTAAAAAAAAAACATTTATTATTACAAAAGTTGTTCTTGCTTTATTGTTCTTTCCAATTGCACATGACGTCAAATACCTCAAGTAAAAAAACTTGCATTTTCAAAAAGTGTTAGCAAAATTTATTACTGGCCAGAGGATTCGGGGGCCAGAATTACGTGCCTCAATTGCCTCAGTTATAATCCAGCCTTGCCTTCGGCATACAAATTATTCAAAATTGTGCAGAGTGTTTATGGCGTACTTTGCCTATAGCATACATTGCTTTTAAAGAATATAAAAGCAAATCACAGCATATGGGTGCACAAAACGATTAGCATCACTGATAGCTGGATTGCAAATTATGGTAAGACATAAATATTTACATACTCAAACCTGCGTTCATGCCAAAATAAAAGGGAGTATTTTTCTGACGCGTTATCTATTAGTTTAAATATTATCATTCCTAATGATAATATTTAAACTAATAGATATGGTTTTACTGATAAAATAAATATATGAAAGTCATACTTTTAAGTCACATAAGTCGCTTTCTTAACTATTAAGTCTTTTTAAACACAGTTATGAAGCATCATTTTACAAGTGCATCAACTGACGTCTATTTGACGTGTCTGAGCTCGTCGTTAAGAATAAAACTCGTAATATTTTTTGAGTTGCTTTAATTTAACATTTTTATTATATAAAAACGCATTACGACATTTTGGTTTAAAAACGCGTTTAATTTATAAGTTATTATAATAAGGTTTTTAATTAATTATTTTTTGTGGGTTATTTAACTAATTATTTTATTTTGGAAAAGTTATAAAATAAGAGAATGCAGATTTTCAGAGATACCGTTGAGCGCGGTAGTCAAACTCGGAATTTCTCGCTTACCAGCGAGCGCTCTACCACTACACCACTACCGCATGTAAACTTGAAGATAACAAATCCTTTATCTAAAGTATATTAGTAGAAATACCTTCAACCTAAAAGAAATAGTTATTTTTTGAGCAAAAAAATAAAATCAATAATAAATTAAAACTTTTTACAGCATAATTGAAACTTGACATATCTACTATATTTGAAACTTTATATGGTCTATTTTAACACTTTCATCCCTAAAAACTTTAGTTGATTGACTCAAAAAAGTCATTAAAGAAAAAATTGAAGTTGAAGGAGTTTTTATTTTTTGACCCCGGGGTTTAGAGTGCCGGATCCCCAAAAATTGATAAGATTTTGCATCTCTGATTTATAAATATGTTTTTTATGTTCAATATCAACAATAACAATGTGTGTGTGCGTGTGCGTGTGTGTGTGTGTGTGTGTTTTCTAAAATACATGCTAGCATTAAATATACATAATAACGTTTGATGAAATTGTGATATTTTGAGGTTGACATTCTGTATCAACAATACGACATAAACTATATTTGAATTCAATAAAATTTTGAAAAAAAAACTTACTTATTGGCTGATTATTATTTTCTTGTACAGCCTCGACTACTATTTTTGCCAGTTCTTCAAAATTCATTTTTGATAAAACGTTTAGAAACGTTTCTTTTGGTTTTGATTAATTCTTCTTAAACATCCTTTCTTCAAATAATTTTAGCAATTTTATAAAATAATTTATCCTGAATGCTAAAATGTAAAAAACATCTCATTTAAAAATTAGGATTTTAAAATAAACTAATTAAGCTTTTTATGCATTAAAAAATTATTGAGTGTTATCTTATCATTATCTAAATGTCCGGGACAAACGATGATTATTTTAAAAATTTCACTCGCTGTTTAGTCCATTATTTGCTTTTTCTATTGCTCCACATGTAGCTTAATCTATGTGTATTTTTTATGTGTTTATTGTAATTTGGGTTAGAATTCTGTAAAACTATAACGTTGTTTTTATAGATCTTTTAACTATTTTGCTATTTACAGTTTTTACTGTTTACTACATACTAATCTAGACATTATATAATGATGTAATTACAAACAATATAGTAAACAAAGAAATGAAAAATTTAAAAATTGGTAATAATAAAAAATAATTAAAAGTTTCAACATAAAATTTCTTTTGATTTTAGTGATTATTTCAGTACTGTACTTTGAGTATTTATGAGGTGGGTTTCAGTACTGTACTTTGAGTATTTATGAGGCGGGTTTCAGTACTGTACTTTGAGTATTTATGAGGCGGGTTTCAGTACTGTACTTTGAGTATTTATGAGGCGGGTTTCCTTACTGTACTTTGAGTATTTATGAGGCGGGTTTCAGTACTGTACTTTGAGTATTTATGAGGCGGGTTTCAGTACTGTACTTTGAGTATTTATGAGGCAGGTACTTATGAGCACGTTTAGCCGGGCTGACTATAAAAATAATACCATAAAAAAAAATTAATGTTTACATTGCAATTTTAATTTAAATTTGAATTACTCATTTTTATTTGTATTTAGTTGGATAAAAGAATTACCATGATTTATTTTATCCAATCAGCTACATTCATAAGCCGGTTTGGCTTACTTGTTGGCGTTTATTTGGAAAAAAAAATCGTCTCACCTGAGTGGGACCTCACTAAAATTAGGCAAGATCTCAGTTATCCAGGCTAGTTCGTTTCTCATCTAAACAAGAATAATTTTCATAGGTAAATATTAAGCATGCCATAATCTTGTTTAAGCAAGCCAGCCCAGCTAATTGGGCTAGCCCGCCTCATTAAAACAGCCCCATATAGAGCTTTAGTATTTGTACTTAAGCCATATAGAGCTTTAGTATTTGTACTTAAGGATTAAAACTAAATAAAGATTAATAAAATGAAGTTTTTTGTCAACAAGCAAATGAAATTTTTGAATATTATAAAAAAGTTTAATTTTGGTTGGAAATAGGAAATGTTGATAAAATTTTTTTAGTTTTTAGAGTAGTTCAGATTTTTTAGCTAAAATATTTTTGATTTTAAAAACATATGCGTATCGTAGTAAATTTTTGCTATATCAATGCATAGAAACAAATTTTTTTTTAATTAAACAGTTCCGCATAATACAAGCAGATTAATAATTTTATATAAAGTAGTTTAGCTAGTTGGTATTGGTAATCGCAAGTCTTTTTGTATATTCAAAATATTTAAAGTAAAAAAATTAAAGTCTTGTACGTTTTTAAAAATACCCTGTTTACTTGATCATAGCAAGACCTTTGTAATTGTAACAGCAAAACCAGTTTTGCTGTGTCCATCGCATTGCGTCGATATAAAAAATGACTATTTCTACCACTGCATCACAAAAAGCATGTTTTAAGGTATACAATGTATATTTCATAAAAAAAAATCTTTATTAAATTAAGCTATATAAAAAATGATATTAAATAATTGAGAGGTATTTCTAAGTAAACGGATATGGTTATGTAATATTAAAAAATGTTATAAAACCTTAATAGATGCAAACATTTTTTAAAATTAAACCAAAGCGTCTGAAGCAGACAAAGAGTAGGCTGATGTTTTGCAGTAGTAAAACATTAGAGATACACAACAATTTGTCAAATTAAACACAATAATTTTTCAATATTTGTGACAGTGCATTATAAATCAAATAAACTGGCAATAAATTTTATTGTCAAAGAAAAACTTCGTGCAAAACAAACAAAATTAATTTTGATTGTTTCAGCATCTTGCAGAAAAATCATTATTAGCTTTACAAACATCGTAAAAAAACTTGGTATTTTTGTAAGACCGATATTTTTATAAGTCAAAGGTAAAAGTACAACTCATTAAAGATTATTAATTAAGCGCGCTATTGAGGGTTCAAATCCACTCCTTACGACAATACATTTTCCATTTTTCAATCTGGTCATATATATTCATTGCAAATAATTTAATAAGGCAAAAAAGACTTTTAATTGTTAAAAAATTTTTTTAACATTTTTTGCTACACCGGGCTTTTTTTTTTTTTACCTTTACAAAAACACTTTATGGAGTAGCAAGACAAGCTTATTAATTTTTTTATTTATTTAGCTTCAGGACATACTTTTTTCGGACCATCTGCAGCTTAATAGGACTAATTACCCGAGCATATTAATAGCATAAGTATCTCTATCATGACATATGCGCAACAAGTTTCTACCGGTGTTTTGATGTTTTTGAAAATTTTAAAACAATCACTTTGGCCACAAAGACGTAATGTTTGATAAAGCCCGACGGGCATTTGTTTTTAAAAGTTACGTTCTAAATGTCTTTTAAACGTCTTTTAAACATTAATGTTTAAAAAACGTTTAAAAGACATTTAAAATACATTTAGATCGTAACTTTTAAAAACAAATGCCCGTCGGGAGGTTTTAACGTTATTTAATAAATAAAAGACTTTAAAACGGCAAACAAATGCTAAAATTCAAAATTAAGGAGATGTTGCCACAATACAATTTTCAAGTAAAAGTAAATTTGTAAATCTTGATATTTGTTTTTATATTACATAATTTAAACTTTGTACAACTATTTGCACAAACTTTCGTCTACATTTTCTTGTAAAAAAGTGCTTCAACTCTTTTTCGCCATTACCTCGGTTGCAATAGCTGCTTCACCAAGAAAATTAGTTCGTGCACATTCTTGATAGAGATCTCAAGAAGATAATTTGAACAGACTATGAAAAAAACTTGCAATTTTTTTAACTATTGGTTTGTATTTAAGTAACAATAGTTTCATTCAACCCTCATTCTTTTTAAAAATTGATTAAGACTTTAAGATTTTAGATTGAGTTTTATTTTTTAGAATCTTCTAGTTTGATACATTCAAAATTTTTCCTGATAAAACTGAAGGTCGTTAAATGTATGCTAAAGTTTTTAAGTTGTTGCCCAAATAACCGTAAATTACGCCTGCCTAATGTACCAAATTGAAACTTTTTGGGTTATTTTCATTCTTCATTATCTTCATTATGCTTTCTGCATTTTTTTTTGGCTTTTACTGTTAAAAATTCACTATTGACAAGCAATTAAATTGGAAGTTGTATTTTTAGGCATTTTATAATCGAAAAACATTTGATTAACTGCTAGTATATGTTTGTATGTGTTTATCTAACATACAGTTAATACATGTTTGTATGTGTCTATCTAACATACAATTAGTATATGTTTCTATGTGTTTGTCTAACATTCAGTTAGTATATGCTTCTATGTGTTTGTCTAAATAAATAAAAAACACAGTTACTAACATACAGTTAGTAACTGTGTTTTTTATTTATTGTCTGCGAAAAATATATAATAAAGATTTTATCACGTGTATGTATTTGATAACTTGACACTTACTTTTAATGAAGTCAACCAATCAAATGTTTACACTAATTTTGTAAAGGTTTACACTAGTTTTATAAAAGTTGACACTAGTTGATCAATCAATCAAAAGTCTACACTAGTTGATCAATCAACCAAAAGTCTGCGCTAGTTGATCAATCAATCAAAAGTTTAATAAAATTTAAACTAGTATTTTAGTTTACGCTTTTTAATCAATCAATCAAAAGTTTAAACTAGTTTTATAATAGTTTAAACTAGTTTAGTTAGTGGTATGGTGAAATGTTTTTTTCTTGCTTTGTATACTTTGAAGTTAAGGTAAATATTGTAGGTATTGTATAATAGATTTGCTTTATTTAAGGAAAGAAATAAATTTGTATAGTAGAGCTTTTCTACTTTATTTCAAAGAAAACTTAAAAGTGTAATATAGTTTTTTAATAAACTTCGATTCAGCATTCAGATTTTTATTTAAAAAAGAATTAAAAAAAAAGATTACAAAAATATTGTCAAGCTTATGATCAATGAATCTAATTTCACCATTGTTACAGGTGAAAAAGTTAACCTTTATAACTTGAATATATGTGTTGAAAGTTACAATTAATTTGTATTTTGATTTTAAACTGGGTAGAAAATGAACTCAATAATTACTCTAGATAATTTTAAATTTGCATCAACTTTATAATAATTAAAAATAAATAAACTAGTGATTCAACAAGCTCAAATTTAAATTATAGACTAAAACACCCTAAGGCTTGCCTTTGTGGATTGTTAAACCTATTAAATTCATTTGACCTATATTTGTGATCTTTAGAGATTTAATTTATTTAGATTTGAATTTACTAAAACTATATTGTACACTAATGCATTCAGTGGTTATATTTTCTGCGTGAAAATAAAAAATCAACTTGTAAAGTACAAAAAAAGGTACAATCAAAAAGCAGCAGTATCAGTGGACTCCACGCCCAATTAAAAACAAACTATGAAATAAGCTTTGTAAAAAGATAATTGCCAAAAGAGAAAGCGTAATCATCAATTAAAAAGCAAAACCTTAGAGATCAATTAAAAATTACAGATATTTTCATGTAAACGTGTACATTGAGAACGAATCCTTGGATAAGTTTTTGGATACTAAAACCTTGGGATAGCAAGAATAGTTTATACAATACTGAAAATTAGTGACGCAAGTTTATATTAGATTTCAATCTGCAATTTTTTTTTTTTTCAATTTGCAATAATCAAAAAAAAAAAGTAGTAAAAGTAACTGACAACAATGTAAATTTTGACAATGGTGGAAAAATATATTTTTAACATAATTGGCTAGGTGCTAATGATAATAAAAAATACTTTTCCAAGTTGTTTCAAGTCTTCAAGAAAACTATTGAGATGAAAATTTGAACGGCAAAATAATTCCATCGTAGTGAAGCAGTATCGGATTGAGGTTTAGTGTCGCGGGGGGCCAAGTCAATAAATAGGGGCGACCGGGGTTGCCTTCAGTAATTTGATCTTAATATATATATATATATTTTGATTGTTTTAGGGGGCGCCGTTAGACCGTTCTAGGGGGGCGTGGGGGGCAGCTTGCCCCCCCCCCCCCCCCCCCACGCCCTATACTAAATCCGCCACTGTAGTGAAGATGCCAATGTCCAAAAATACCCAGTAGACAATGTAGGTAAAGTTTTTCCACTAAAACTCAACTTCAAAGTTTGTTGTAGAATCTAAAACAACGGTCAACGTGTCATTTTTTTTGTTTAGAATATATTTCGCTATTCATATAAAAATGATAAAATTACAATGAAACTTACAACTACGTTACACAAAGATTAAATCTAAAACAGGCTCAAAGAAGATACGGATGACTGGTGTCACCACAATCTTTTTATAGAGCTCCTTTACAATAACATTTAAAGCCCACGTAGCTTTAGTAAGTTTACAACAAAATATTTTTTATGAAAAATACTGCGTGAAGAATATTTGTTAAAAACTCATATACATAGACACACATGTATACATATACACAAGCATACACACATATACAAACATACTTACATCTATGTCAGAAATTAGGGAGATGCAATTTAATTTGCCGTTTAAAGAGAAAGTGCTTTTCAAATTTTTTTATTGTTCCATAATGAAGGGTCTTGGCTAATAATTGAGAATTTTGACACTTGTGATTTTATTCTGCTCAAAGGATAGTTATGGTTGGTATTTGACCGAAGATTTTATTTTTGTGAAAAAGCCGATGTAAAAATATCAGAAAATGGCAGAAAGTTTTTCTAATATTTATACATAAATAATTGAAACGAATAAAAAATAATAATATTTATACATAAATATTAATTTTTGAAGCGAATTAGGTTTTGATATATTAGGACATTCATGTGTTTCATTTTCAGGGGGTTTTCTAATCTCTTTAAATAGTTAACTGCTTTACATGCGTGGTTTTGTAGGCTCTGTAATCTTAATAATTTAGTTTTGTGTGTGTTAGCCCAAATAATTTTAGCGTAGGAGAGTTGATAATGAACAAGACTGAAGTAAAGCATTTTGAGTGATTTAAAATCAAGAAAGGCCCTAGATTTATTTAATACACTTATAGCAGAAGATATTTTTGTTTCAATGAGACTAATATGTTTTTTCCATGATCGGTACTTATCAAATATTACTCCCAAAAACTTTGTATGACTTACTCGATTTATTTCATTTTTATTGATTGACAGTTTTGACAACTTTAATGGAAGATTATTTAATTATCTTATTTTACGGAAAAGAGTAAAACTTGTTTTTTCAAAATTTAATGATAATTTATTAACTATAAACCTATTAAACCTATTTAAGTTAAAGATTTCTAGTTCAGTGTTCATTGTTTCGAACAATATTTTTACATCAGAGTTGTTGTAGAATAAATTTGTATCGTCTGTATACATAATTGACAATATTTTATGAAAAGCTTTATTCATATTATTAATATATATCAACAAAAAAAATAAAGCTCCTAAAATTGATCCCTGTGGGACTACGAAAACGATAAATATAACAATAAGAGCTCCTGACTACTCCAGGACAACAAACTGTTTTTTATTCTAAAAGATAAAAAATTATATTCTAAAAGATAAGTTTTAACCCACTTATACATTTGGCCTTTAATGCCGTAATGCTTTAACTTTGAAAGTAAAATTCCGTGATCAACAGTATCGAATGCCTTAGAGAGATCGTACTTGTTCCCCTTTAACAAAGGACATAGATACTTTATTGAAAAATTAAATAATATCATGTTCAATAGAGCAGTATTTCTGACATTGAAATTAATTTTTGTATAAAAACGTATTTAATGTCATGTAATCATAATTTCTATTAAAAATTACCCTTTTAAATATTTTTGAAAAGACAGGGAGTAGTGATATAGAACGGTTGATATAAACAGATGAACAATCACCATTTTTAAAAAGTGGGTGAATTTAGGCTGATTTTAAATTATCAGGAAATATACTGTTCTTGAATGAAAATGTTGTTAAATAAAATAATGGTTTATTTATACATTAAAAATTTCATTTTGCAAATATTAATTTTTATTGAAAAGTTATCTTTTTAAGTTGAGATAAATGATAAACCGGTACTATACCGTACTATACTTTTCAATTTTCAAATTTAAAATTGTTTATAATTATAGGTTTATTTATATTCAACATAAGAAGTAATAAAAATCTTTACAACATTCCTAATACTTCGTGGTCAGACTCTTTTTTAATTCTTTTTACTTCGTGGTCAGACTCTTTACTTCAAAGTCAGGCTCTTTACTTCATGGTCAGGCTCTTTTACAATAAAAATAAACGAGCGTCATGCCTTATATATAGCATTAAAAGAGCAAGACATTTCAAAAATGTTGTCTATAAGTGTATTGTTAAGCTGAGTTACTCATTCCTTACATTTTTGCAAAGAGATTATTAATCACTAATAATTATTCTCTTGATTAAACAAAAGCCATCAACAGGCCTCAAATGCTAAACAATTGATAATACAAGTCTCATTAGTGAAACGTTTCCTAACAGTATTAATATACTCAGCAGTTTCAAAAAATTTAACCGGTACTTTCAAGCATTCTCTGTCATTAAAATAAAATGCAAAAGTCGATTTTTGGGTTTCAAAAGATATATGATTTTTAAAAATCATATATATCAAATATTCGCTGAGAAACGGCTTAGCAGCGCCAAACCAGATTTGGTTTTGCCACAATATCTTGCAATACATCTTTTTTTTTTAAACAGAGAGTTAATTTTGATTCCTATTGAATTCTATTAGTAGCTAGCAACGCCGTCCAGAATAAATTTTGAACGAAAGGGGGAGGAGAGACGTATCTAGTTTTTTTGCCGACTAAGATCTGAAAAAAAAAATAGTCCTCCTTGTCAAACATTTGCCAATTGCCAACTATATAACCAATATCGCCGACTCCAGAATCCAATATGCTAACTAATAAATTTCGTAGGAGAACTAGACACCCCCTACGCTTCTTCGTCGGGATGCCTCTGGTGACTGGTAGTCGATGAGCAAAGGTTACTGTTTTTAAAACGCATTTTCAATAAACATGATTACGCAGAATACAATATCTCAAGATCTAAAGATAAACTTACAATCAAGTTTTTAGGATATATTCATTATATTCATTTGCATGAGTTATAATAAAATTAAGGTTTAATATAAATCAGTTCATGAAATATTGTCAGATATGTCCAATACCAGCAGCTGGTTAAATAAGGCAAATTTACCTTTACTCCAAAACTAGTCATTTATTTAACACATGATTCTTGTACAACTCCTTCATCAATATTTTTGTACTGATAAAATTTCAGAACAAGTAAATATATCTTGATAGCATTGTGCGTATTTTTTTAACACAAAAATCTATCCCAAAATAAATGCAAATTTTTATTATATATATATATATATATATATATATATATATATATATATATATATATATATATATATATATATATATATATATATATATATATAAACTTGAAATATGATTTTTAACCAATATAAAGCAAAAGATAGTCAATCCAGTAAACAAAAGTAAATCTTTTTTTCTCAAATATTTATGACTAAAAATATTTTTTTTTTATTTTTCCAAAAAATACACTAATACAAAGTATTTTTATATAATTAATTAAATAAACTTTAAGCACTAGAGGCCTTTCAAAAGCTGATTTTTTGAAAGGCCTCTAGTGCTTAAAGTTTATCTAATTAATTATATAAAAATGCTTTGTATTAGTGTATTTTTTGGAAAAAAAAAAAAAAAAAATTTTTAGTAATAAATATTTTGAGAAAAAAAGATTTGCTTTTGTTTACTGGCTTGACTATCTTTTGCTTTATATATATATATATATATATATATATATATATATATATATATATATATATATATATATATATATATATATATATATATATATATATATATATATATATATATATATATATATTACGTCATTATTATTTTTTTATATTAGCCATTATTACTAATATGATATTAATCATATCAGTCACACTTAAACTTAAAAAACACAATTACATCATGTATATACTATATGTGTCACAAAATAGTACACATAATATAACAAAAAAATAATCATGAAAATAATATTACGAAAAACCAGTTATACCTTTGACCTCGGTGTAGTCACTACATTTTATATATATTTATACTTCGTTCTGTACTATACTAATCGAATTTCATTATAAGCAAAACCACTAGACAAACCTTTTTTTTTAATTTTTTTTTTCTTTTTAAAGGGATAAATCTTGTTGACTTCTGCAAAACTTTAAATTTAGACGCTTGAAAGTAAATATTTGTATCTTTCTAACATTTTTTTAAAAAAATTGTCATTTAATATAATATATAATTTGTTTATTGTTATTATAGAAAATGAAGAAACAATTTAAGAAAATATTTTTAACATATTATTGTTATATAACGGCGAAATTAATCATTTTAACAGATACACGTGAAGTCATTTTAAATAAAAAAAATCTAACATTAAAAATTACTGTAAAAAAACAGAAAATACAATTCAAGTTTAACACTGCTACACGTAAGTAAATAAAAACTTATATACTAGTACTGGTTATAGCAAAGATACAAAAAAATTGCTCGTTATGTTGAAAGCGAATTTTTCATATGTTTTATATATGTATATGTTATTTATGCAACAAACTGTTTTACTGAATGTTTGAAAAGCAATTTTTTAAATTAGTAAATTTTAATTGAAATTTATCATCGAAACTTTATAAAAACTCTATAAACAAAAAAATGTTAAAAAAATATTTTTATGATTTATGGAGTTAAACGACTTCTAAATTTTTAGTCTTGGAGCAAGTAGATCAGTGATCTGTGAAACTCTTTTACGTTCAGTTCATGACTTAAATATTTAAGAAACAAACATCCGTTTTATAGTTGAGAATCTAACAACTGTTGATGTGAGATTTTAATAACTGTTTTTTTTTTTATAAATGCTGCGTTTATTTTTTAAAATCAGTTATTGATGAGCACTGTTAACTTCATTATCTAAACCTTCTAAACGCTTCCAACTTTTAATTGAACGGTTTGTGCAAAAATGATGCCTCGTTAAAAAGTTTGGAACAAATTTTCCCTTATTTTGTAACAAATCTATGTCCCAATTTTATTTGTTTGGTGATACATACATACAAACATACATGGATACATACATACATACATACATACATGCATACATACATACATACATACATACATACATACATACATACATACATACATACATACATACATACATACATACATACATACATACATACATAATTTTGATTGTGACTTCTAAGTAAAACTTATAAACACATTCTCAATTTACACAGAAGTGAACACGATTAAAAACGGTTTGTACTTGTTTACGTTAATAAATAAATTGGTTAACATTGTGATTTTATATGTTAAAAATTAATTGAAAACAAACAAGAAGTGCATAACAAATTTCCTAAATAAAAAACTATAACATGTATGTTTAAATATAGAAATATTGCATGTAAACTTAAGCAAAACTTGTAGTTATTAAAAAAATATATGGTCCTTGACCAATACTAAAAACAACGTTTAGCCAATGTTATAATGGTACGTTTATCTAATGCTTAAAATAAGCTAATCCAATATCCGAAAAACTTTATCAACATCAAAATAAAGTAATCACGTGATTGCTTTATTGACCTGTTGATTATAAGTTTAGAAAAAAGTCTTTGGTTAAAATGTTTTTCAATATTTCATATAAGCAAACAAGCAAACTATATTGTTTTTACAAATAATTATAAAAACTGATTGCCGATAGATTCTATCGGCAATCAATTTTTATAATTATATCATATTTTTCCACGTATAATATTTATCTGTTTTTTAAATTTATTTAATACATTTACTATTTAATTAAAATATTTTCCAGTTATTCTAAAATAAATTATATTTAATCTATTTACTATTAAATATTTAGACCACAACATAAAAATTAAGTTATATATAAATTAATTTAGATTAGTTTCCAGTATTAATATTTTGTCGAACCTAATGCCAACCTAATTTTTTGGTTGTATATTAGTATATAATAATTTCTTTTTTATAAACAAAATAATAATCATTGTTATTAAATACCAAGTTGAGTTGAATTATGATTGTGTATGACTTATGAAAAGAAGTCATACACAATCATGACAATAAGAAAAGTTATTTTTAAATTGCCAATTCAAACCTTTCCGCTCCTGCCAGGAAAGTTTAACTGCAAAGATCAGTCTTTTGTTCTCAATAACATGTGTGTTGTATCTAAAATATTTATTCCTCCTATTTGAGCATGATGATTAACCTTATTAAGAGATTAAAATCATTCGATACATTTAATATAATTAATCTTAATTAACTTTGATGTTAATTGTTTATTTCTAGTTATTGCTAGTTTAAGAACAATATAGATATAAAATCTGAACTCTTTAAAAACCAAAAACATAAAATATTTCAAAACTCTGTTTCATTGCTTATTAAATTTTATATTTTTCAAACTTTATTTAATTTAATTTAATCTTCAAGAATTTTACAGCATTCAATATAGAAAACGTTAAAAAAAAAATTGAATATAGAAATTGTGAAAATAGAATACTAATTACTTGAAAGTGTTACTTTATTTCAGCTTCTCATCAAAATCAGTTAGTTCTTGTAAGCAATCAAAAGAAAGGTTTTCACCTTCAAGCAAAGTATCATAATTTTTATGTTGAGTTACTGCATTAAGTATTGCATTATAGTATTGCATTTAAGTATTGCATTCTAAACCTACGAATGCATGATCTGCTTCGTGTCTAGTGAAGCAAGTCTGTTTAGAATTACTGTTAAATCTTTTGCCACTATTTCTAAAATTTAATTTAATTTAATTAAAAGTTTTGTAAGAAACTTTAAAAATAAAATTAAGAATAAAGTTATTTTGTCAGATGGGGTAATATGGCAACATTTTGATTGTTTTTTTTTTTCAATTATTTGCTAAATACAAGAGCTATAAACATGTAAATTTTATTCAAGAGTTATTCCTACAAGATGCACATTATATGTGAAAATCAGGAATGTGGCTTTCAGAAAATAGAAGAGCTATAAACATGTAAATTTTATTCAAGAATTACTCCTACAAGATGCAAATTATATGTGACAATCAGAATTTTTTTTCAGAAAAATTAGGATTATGGCTTTAATGTTTATAAAAACCATTTTTGAAAAATCAAAATATAGAGAAGTTAAAAAATCTAATTTAAACAAGTAAAACATTGCAATACATGTTTATGAAGTTAAAGGAAGTATTTTTCAAATCCTAAAACTAGATTTTTAAAACAAAGTTTAAAATACAAATACAAATACAATAAAATATAAAAATTTCTAACAAATTGCATAGGCATTTAAATTTTTATAATGGTGTCTGGATGTCTTGTGGCTTTTCTGTAAATCATTTTGTTTTAGCTAGAGTTTCGTCTGAGATTAGTCTTATCATAGTTGCTATGCTACAGTTCATTACATTAGAAGAACAATGTCCTTGATTAGGTTGTGCAGATTTTTGAAAATAAACAAGCTTCACTGACAGCTGCATGGCTCTTTATAATTTTTCTTCACCAATTCTCTTTAAAATTAGAATGTGGTGCCTTTTCAAAAATCTGTAAGTCTAATATTATTGAGAGAAGGTTTTGCTTGTGAAGGATACATTTGATGAAGTGTTTTAACGCAGAAGGATTCTTTGCTTTGTCAGCAAGATTCTTTGCTTTCTCATTGGTCAATTTTAATGACAAGCTCTTACTCAGCAGAAATGCCAGTAGAAAAAAAAAAAAAAAACCAGTTCAACATGGTGTCTGTATATTTACCACATAGATAATTTCTAAAAAATGATCTGAAAACTTTATTGGTTTAAGAGATCCTTTTAACTAGAATACCAGCAGCAAAGGTCATCTTAGTCTTATCCACTTGCTCTATGGGGTAGTTACTGTGTGCGTAACCTTTCTTTGGCCTTTATGTGTATGGAATATTGCAACTTATTTAAAAAAAATAAAAAATTTGACAAATTTATCAACCAAAAAGTGAACATATTTCCCCAATTTTTAAAATAAACTATTTACTTCACTTACCTTTAGGTAAATGCTTTGAGCTTAAAAATGCACTACTGTAAGTAGCTCATAGAGAACTGGTTAAAATTTTGAGCAAATTACCCGGTCAAGTATATGGTTAGCAATAGCTAGCGCTTTTAAAAACTAAAAAAACATAAAAAAATGGCATGGAAAAAACATTCGACAGCATAAAAATTATTATTTTAATTCTTTTGTAACAGACATTAAAATGTCAGGTTAACATTGGGCTATCAAGTATGTAGAGTGGGACACTGCCTCTTTTAATTAGTCACTTTTTGCAGAATCGGAATCGATATTGGCATCAGTTTTTTTTTAATTAATTAACTTAAAGAGAAAAATTTATTATTATAAATATATAACAGCATATTTTATTATAAAGCAAATAATTAAATTTATGTAACACTTAAAAATTTCACATGTAATGTGACGTATGAATACGTATGTATTCATACGTCATGTGACGTATGAATACTTAAAAATTAAAAAAAACTGAAAGTCATTAAGATACAGCATCTTTTAATCTTGTTAAAGAGAGAAAATTTAAAATTTAAGAGGAGAAAATTTAAACTTGAAATAGTTTTGGTCAGTGTTGCCTGCAATAGTTAAGCCATACTCATAAGGTGAAAAATTGATTAAACTAAAGAGTTTGTCCTGGAGGAACAGTTGTGCATATAAGTAAATGTGGAATTTTCTTTTAATGTTTTTCATAGGACAATGAATGAACTCTTTGTACGCTTTTTTGATATAAAATGTTTACTATGATCTGTATCAAGATTTATATTGCAAAGACCAACCACGAAGTATTTCATTTATTTTAGTGTAAAATTTTGAACATCAGAGCTAGATAAAACGTATTCGCTTTTTAATCAATATAATTAACACCAACATTAGCTAAGTTTGAACCTTTAATTGAAAAATTGTCAGGATTTGAACTAAAATTACTATTTAAATAAAAACTATCTGAGTATCATGTTGTAATTTTACTAAAATGCTAAAACAAATAAAAAGTAACTTCATTTTTAGATTTAAAGATGTTTAGATTTAAAGATGTTTTGATTATAAACAAAACATCTTCCTGCTGAACCAGCTGCTTGATGTCAAAAAAATGGGTATTGATGTCAAAAAAATTGTTTAGAAGATTGTTTTATACTTTTTTTAAAATAAGATCAATTTGTTTTAACTTTTTGACGAATAGTTAAGTATGAAAAATCTTTTCATTAGTTAGCCATTTATTAAATAATAATTTAATACAAAAAATATTTTTATTTCTATAGTAAAAAATAGTTTAGAGTATTGTCACATCATGAAAAATAATTTTATAAACTGTTATGTATTAAATTTTATTTAAATAAAATGCGATAACTCTATTAATCCGTTTTTATATTTGAAGAACGAAATCTTGCTCGCAGTGGCGGATTTATTATAGGGCGTGAGGGGAGGAGGGTTGAGCTGCTCCCCACGCCCCCTAGAACGGTCTAACGGCGCCCCCTAAAACAATTAATATATATATATATATATATATATATATATATATATATATATATATATATATATATATATATATATATATATATATATATATATATATATATATATATATATATATATATAAGATTAAGTTACTGAAGGCAACCCCGGTCGCCCCTATTTATTGACTTGGGCCCCCTGCGACACTAAACCTAAATCCGCCACTGCTTGCTCGATATTTTCAAATTACTCTTAAAAACAATTTACATAAAGGCATTATACAAATCACAAAGTACAATAAACTGTTTCGTACATTTGCGTCGGCATACATAATTGTATATTATTTAGTAATAAAACTTAATACTTTTGCATTGGATAAGCTTTGGCCCAATTTGAAAAATTTGCAATGTTATTTACAAGCTTGTACATTCGGAAATAACTGTCCCGATATGTCCCACTCTACAACATGTACAATGTTATTTACAACATGTACAATGTTATTTACAACTATTACAACATGTACAATGTTATTTACAAGCTTGTACATTCGGATAATATTTGGAAAACAAATTTTTAAAAAATTAAAGATCTTATTTTTTAAATCACTAGGTTTAAAGTTAAAACGCTTGGTTTTAATTGTGTTATTGAAAATTATGGCATAAACGTTAAACTTGCTTGTAATCGCATTTTATATCAAAAATATTAAGTTTAAAAGGGCTTAAAATGAAAAAGTTTACGAAAAAGGTTTTGTTAAGTTGACAAAAAGTAATTATATGGTATTTTTTAATGAGCGAAGTATCATCAATAAGAAAGAAAATTTTAAAAAATCTTTTTTGTATTTTTAGTTTTTTGAGCCTCTGCATGATGAAATCTTCATAAATATTTAGCTTTTTGAGCCTCTGCATTAATTACTATACAATGCTGATGTGTATGTAGATGAAATTTTCAAGTCCTAAACTGTTTTTATTTTTTATTTAATTTTTTTTAAATGGTAATTTACATCAAAAATTATTAGGAAATTGTATATAAATACAAAAAATAGTCTCACCAATTGTAGTACCTACCCAGATTTGAGGAAGTAAGTAAGTGAGAAAAAATTAAATAATATATTCATATTTTTTTAATTATTTTTTATAAAGTTAAGTTCATTTCATCTCTAATTAGGGTTTACATTTTTGCCGCCCGGAAAGAAAATTTGACGGCTTACCTTTTGAATAACGTTTTAAGTTTTAAAACTCACTTCACATTATCCTCACTTCACATTCTCCTCACTTCACATTCTACTCAGAGCCGGTGCAAAGGGGTTATGACACCCTAGGCAAAACTTCAAAGGTCGCACCCCTTTTACGTAAAAAAATCAAAATAAAATGCAAAATAAAGTGAAAACACCAGGTAAGTATTTATTTATTTAAAAATATCAAAACTGTACTTTGCGTGCCTTTTTCTGGGCAAAATCGATCACAAGGTCCTTCAGGTCCAGCTTGTCTGCAAGTTTGTGCTCAATGGAAAGAGTTGCCAACCCAACCAATCTGTCTTGGCACATGGATGATCGAATGTATGTCTTTATCAATTTTAGTTTGGAAAAACTACGCTCTCCACTAGCGACAGAAACAGGTAATATCAGCAAAATACGAAGAGCAATACAAAGGTTAGGTAGACTGTCTTCCAAGTTTTGGCAAAGAATAAATCGAAAAACATCTTGAGGAGACTTTGTTTCTTCAGAAAGTCGTCGTGCAATAGACTGTAGTTCGCCACACAAATCTGATGCAACTAAATCTCTGTTATCACCATGTTGTAAAGCAGATTCTAGTTTCATGCAACATTCCAATATTTCTTGTGAAGTTTTACTCTGTAGACCATGAATATGATATAAGAAACCAAATACAGATTCAATTGTTCTCATTTGTTCAAACCTTTCTTCAACCGACCTTATTGCTGTGTCAAGTATAGCAAAGAAAAAATTCACTTTGAAATTTTGTTTTGGATCTTGCACAGGCTCATCTTCAGCTTCATATGCAAATTGCTTTTTTCTCCGCCGTAATCGTGGTTCTGCCTCAAAGGTTGGTGGTATCTCCAAATCCTTAGCAATTTCAGCAGCATTCACTAGCATTCTTGCAAAACCTATGTCACTCCTACAGTCAACCAAATAGGCTTGTGTGTGTTGTAACTGTTGTACAGCAGCATGAATATCCAAATCTTTAGCTTGGAGCTGCTTACTTGTTATATTGATTTCAAAAAGTATGTTGTACCATACAACAATTGAAACCACGAACTTAAACTTTGCAACACTATTCGCAAGTGCTTTAGTGCAACACTGCACTGCGTGCAGTGCTTCCTGAAGATCCAGTTAGAGAAGTATCATCAGCTATTTCTAGAAGTGCATCATATATTTTACCAAGTTCATATCGCAAAGGATTTATAGCATCTATTCTGCTTTCCCATCTTGTTTCACTTAGAGGTTTAACAGTTAACGTAGGTTGATGACTAGTGAAAACTACCCACCGATGTGTTGAAGACGAAAAATATACATACACACGTTGGACAATATCAAAAAAACTTGTAGCCATTAGACAACAATTTGCAGCATCATTGACAACCAAATTAAGAGTATGCGCGCTGCAAGGAACAAAAAATGCTCGAGGATTAATGTTTAATATTTTCTTTTGAACACCATTATTTTTGCCTATCATATTTGCGCCATTATCGTAGCCTTGGCCACGTAAATTATCAATAGGTAACTCTATTTCTTCTAGTTGTTGTATTATCGTTTCTGCCATATAGGCTCCAGTTGTTTTCTTTAAAGGTACAAAGCCTAAAAAATGTTCTTTGATACTAAACTCCTTTTTCAATGAATCAACTTTAACAAAACGAATAATTATTGTCATTTGCTCAACATGGCTACAGTCAGAAGTACCATCGAGAACTATTGAAAAATATTTCATTGCATTTGCTGTTTGTATGATTTCTTTCTTAATAGCATTTCCTAACAGTTGAATAAGTTCATTGAAGCTCTTTATTTGATATCTTTCGTAGATGTTCGTTCATTAATGGATCAAAAATGGCCAAGTATTGCACAAATTTTAAAAAATTCCCGTTATTGGCACTGTACAATGTTTCATTTGTACCGCGAAAAGCTAGATTCTGTTCACCCAAAACTCTCACTAATTCTATTAAACGCTTTAGTATTTGCTGCCAATACTTTTCTTCATTCTTCATCTTGCGCAAAATTTCTGCATCCATTGTACTATCCCTCTGTAATCGCTGATGTAGTTCTTTCCATTTTTGATAGTTCTGCAAATGTTCAGGACTTTTCTCGTTGGAAGAAAGAATTGCCGCCATGTTTTTCCAGTCATTTGAACCTGTATGAGTTAGTGATGATATGCCAATTGCTTTCGTACTGAACAGTTTGCAACAGAAACAAAACACTGAGTCTTTTAATACTGAATACAAGAGCCAGCTGCGACATAATTCTTCTCCATTAGAAAGTTTTCTTAAGTAGTGAAATACTGAAAACTTTCGATTGTTCTTATCATTTGGGAAACTGATATCTTTTATTTGCTGAGGTCCACGTTCTACAATGATTGCACGTGTATTATGATTAATTAGTAGAGGCCAAAGTGCTGGATCCTGTGGAATAACATTATCCGTTTTTTCTTCACTTGCTTGCTGTACATGTTCCTCGAGAGAATTATTCAATTGGCCATTATCTGCATGGGAAACGGGAACTGTTGAGTTAGAAAGTGTTTCACTCATCATCACATTATCATTATCAACAACATTAGATATTTCTTCAGCTTCCATATCAGTGGGAATCTGTCCACCATTACTATCCTCTTTAGTAGAGTCTTGTCGGCATATAAACTTTAGCAATGAACCCTTCTGTTTTTCTTGTTCCCTCTGCTGTTCAACTTTTCGTTTACGATATTGAGCTCCTGAAGGCTTCTTTCTCTCAGCCATATCTGAAATGTAACAAGAAAATAATAAAATAAATGAATGTTGCGATGTTTAACTAATACATTAATAGGTCTTCTGTGATTGGCTTCAAGAATAAATTATATATAGCTAGCTATAGTTTTCAACAGGTCTGAACAGCTCAGTAAGGTTTTAACAGGTTATCATTTAACTGTATTATACAAAAAACAACTTGGCAAAGTTATACGTCCTGCTAGTATTTTTTTGTGTTTTTTTTAAACGGAAATGGAAGTTAGCTATATGAATGAGATTTCAATGTGTGACTAGCTGGTGCAGATCAAGACATATTGTAGAAGCGACTCAACAAAAAATTTAACTTGCTAGATGCATTGTGTTTAAATAATTCAAATTTTATTTTGTATAGCAAAGTTATACGTATGGTGAAGTATAATAATAATATAATACGTAATATATAATAGCCCTAGATTTAAGCTAGTTATTATATATTCATATAAAAAATATTTTACTTTTCTTAATAAGTGTCTAAAACTTAATATAAATGTATAATAGTATATAGAATGTCACTATTCATCTATATGCATATATATATATATATATTATCAGTATATGTTATATAAAGGATATAGTCGACTAACTATTGAAAGTTGTTATGAAAATCACTTTGATTGTAAAGACGCCGCCATATTTGTTATGATTAAGATTGCGTTCGGTAAAATGTACGTACATATTGCTCAATGAGCAAAAGTGTTGTTTTTTGTTAGCATATAAAAAAACTTATCAATTTTTAGGCGCCCCTAAACTTTGGCGCCCTAGGCGATTGCCTAGTTCGCCTATAGGGTGCACCGGCCCTGATTCTACTCACTTCACATTCTACTCACTTCACATTACTCTTGACTCAATTTAAATGTCAAAACATTTGTGAAAGTAATAAAAATATACTTTTTTGATAAGGAGGCAATAACCTATACGTAACCTGAGTATTAAGATATTAAGAACATTAAAAAACGAAAGATGGAATGAATTTTTATATTTTATAAAACTTTCACGATTAAAATTATATAACTGTTGTAAAATATAAAAGTTCATAGTTTTTTGGTTTTCTTGGGTCTATATAGTGTATAATTCTTTACTGAGCCTTGTCGCCAGACGGTAATAAAACATTCGAACCTAACAATTGGCAATTTAGTTTTTAAGTTTTTAATTTGTTTTGTGATTTTCACATGATGTTAATAAAGTTTTTTAATTCAATAAATTTAAATATAGTTTTTATTTTAAGGGATAATTATTTTTAAAGTAGAGATCTGTTTTTCTACTTTACTAATTACTTATGACTTTAACGAATAAAGTAAGTTTATCTTAAGGGCTAAATTGAATTAAGAAGATATGCTTAATGCATTTTTTAATCGAGGAGTTGGTAAATAAAAACTATTTTTTATTGCCTTGACATATGTAAAGTTAATATATATCAAGGCAAATTATGTTTTACTTTTTTAACCTGCAATTATCGAATTTGAAAAAAATTAAAATCTTTTGGAAGTTATTGACCAAAGCGTTTGCTATTTTCAAGTGAGTCTAAAACATATTTTGATTGATCAATACCATTACTTAGGGTTGTTGTTTGAACAAATGTTATTTTTCACAGGCCAGGTTTATTTTTCACTGGCCAGGTTTATTTTTCACTCGCCAGGTTATGAAACTAAATCGCTGATATTACTCAAGTTTTAGTAGATTATACTGTGAGAAATATAATCTTTGGTAATGTTTAAATAAAAATTATACTGTGAGAAACATAATCTTCGGTAATGTTTAAATAAAAATTATACTGTGGGAAATATAATCTTCGGTAATTTTTAAATAAAAGTTGTACTGTGAGAAATATAATCTTCGGTAATGTTTAAATAAAAATTATACTGTGAGAAATATAATCTTCGGTAATGTTTAAATAAAAAAAACTGTAATAAAACATTTTATAACAAATTTTAAATATAAATGTCCAAGATTAATGGCATTGGTTTTGTCAGTATTTTGTTGCATTAACAATACATAATTTGAAAATAGTGATATATTAGTTTGTATGGTATTTTGTAACGGACATTTTATTGTTTCCCAAGCATTTAGTAAAAACTTTTTTATTTATTTATGATTTCTTATAAAATATATAATATAAAATATATAAAATACTTATACATTATATTTTATATTTTATGAATATACAAATATTTAAATAATAATTTAAATCAGCTTTAATAGACTGTTACATTTCTAATTCTAGGTTCCAGGATATTTATGAAATAATTTTTCCCTCCATTCTTTTAATAGCCTTATGAAATCTCTATTTTAGATTTATTAAAATACAACTTAAAAATAAGTTTAATCATTTTTAATTTATTTTATCAAGATTATTTTTTTTTTAAACTCAAAATTTACTATAGTTCATTTTTTTTAAATAATAAAAAAATTAAAAAAAAAAAAGTAGTTCTCTTACATTTATTATTAAAATAATCTCTTCTTAAATAACATTTTATGAAAATGCAGTTCGGCTGTATACAGTAGGGTGTTTTATATTTTATTGATTTTTGAAATTGAACTTGCACCTCAATTTATAAATTGATCATTTATATAAAATGGGGTTTGAACAAAAAAAAAAGTGATAGTTTATAGGGTTCTCATCGTTATTGGGCCAAAAATACGAGGTGTTTCAAACCCCTGGTGGGGAACTTAAAATTTATTCTACAAAACTTTTTATTCTTGAAGAATTTAGTCTGGCGATCAATAAAAAGCATTAACATTTCTTTGTTTCCCGTTGCAAAACTAACTACATTTTAAAATATTTTATAATAGTGTCAAATTAAGTTTTAAAAAAAACTATGATTGATCCATGGGGTAAACTGCCTAGACAATAACCTTAATAGCCCCACCCACCATTTAAAATGCGGAAATTTGATCTGAAAACATTTTTTAAAAATGTATTAACCAAAGTACTCTAAAATAATTTAAAAGGTAACAACTTTCCTAAAACAAAACATTTAAAACCACATTTGCATTACTAATAATAAGTACACATTTTTTAAAATATCATTTAAAATGGCTAAAGTTACAAGACTAAAAGCATGTCTATTTAAATAAGAATTAACTGATAGAAAAATTACCTAAAATAACTTTTGCAAAAATTAAAGAACTACTTTCTAAACTTTCAATTTAAAAGATCTAGAGACAAATTAACTCCGTTCAAAAGTTTGATCGTTGTACTAATAGGACCCAATAAAATCATAAAATTATCCGCTCTTGTCTATTGCAATGACGACTGTATACTTTTTTCAGAAAACCTTGCTTTTTTCAAAAAGCCTTGGATAATATAGATAATATAGATTACTCACGGATAAATTTATATGGTAAGAGTTATAATTTCAAACTATAATAAAATTGAATATTTTTAGATGCGTCATATGATGAACTGTTGTAAATGTGTCATAAGTATTTTAATTTCATTTAATTTATTATTTTCATTATTTTTGTAGGGATAATATTACTCGTTTAATTAATAGTTTGGAGACGTTAAAGAAAAGTAAATATAAAGACACTAAGCAACTTTGCCATTTAAAAAACTCTAATGACTTTCTCGCATTGAGAAATCAGGAAAGAATTCAAGAAGAAACGAAAGCAGGTTGTTTGGATTGGTATAGATAAGATTAAAGAAGTTTTAAAGGCAACAAGCCTTGATAAACTTTTATGCTATGGTGATATTGAATTTTTAAAATCCAGTTGCCTTATGACCTTGGAGAACAAAGGCATGAGATATTATTCGGTAAATAAAGAAAAGAAACAGTTAAGAAATTGCTGTATTAAACAATTAACTCAAGTAGACTAATCAACTACAGAGGTAGAGTTTTTCTCAGATATAAGTGATATTACAGAGTCATAAGTTAGACATAAGTGTAGTATAGAGTCAGATATTTCATTTGTTTTGCACAACTAGGCCCAAGTAATTAATTATAAGCGTTTGTAATTGATTTTGTTAATGATATTGTCATGACATCAGTGTATCAAGGCAATATCATTAGAGATTTAATGCATGTATGCACAGATTTAATTGTAATTTCAGGCGTAAATGTTACTGATTCATTATCTCATTCAATTATTTGGCGAGCTAAAAAATAAAATTTTTTGGGAAAATGCTAAACAATATAAAAAAAATATTAAAATTGCTACTAGTAAAGCTATTTTCCCTATAATCGCACATTTTTATGGGAAATTATCAAAGATATCACAGAAGGTAAAAAATCAAAACGAGATTTTTAGGAAAATCCATCTTTTTTTGATTTTATATTTTAACATTGTTTTACAGCTCAACAAACTAGATGGATGGTAATGATAAACTAAAGTTTAACTCTAACAAATGTTTAACAAAGTAAAAGAAGCTTTAATTTTACATTTTTTTCTGCTCTACTTTATTTCTTATTTATTTTTATTTATTTTGATTTTTATTTTATTTTAGTTGCCCCAACAAGTCCTTACCGTCTTATCACCGAACACCGCGAAAGAGCATTTAAAAGAAAGTTACCGGTGTTCTGAGACTTGACAAGAAGTGGCGTTGAACCACTGTGCTACGGCTGATCAAATTTAACTACCTAGTTTTTCTTTTTTAAAGGTAATCCAAAGAAATTTGTTTTCTTCTCGGATAAACACAAGTTGCCAAGGACTGTTATTAAGTTACGGGAAATAAACTACACATCTTTTTTCACAAATGTGGAATTTTGATCCATAACCATATTATACTAAAAATATTCCTGTTTTCTGACGTAACATTATGCGGCAGTTTGAGAAACAGTCTGCACCAAATTTTTATCTATACATAGTAGATGAGATTTTATATGTAACTAATAAATAAATAACTGTGTGAAATCTTATTTGCTTTTTTTTATTATTTATAAATAAATTTATTTCAAGTATATTTGAGTACACAACTCAAGGATACCTGAAATAAATTTATTTTATCAGGTATTGGGTTTAGGGTTAATTAGTAAGCCCATAACGGGTTCCTGGATGACTAAACTTTTTGCTGTGCCAGATTAAGGACTTGACTACATGTCTGGCATCGAGGTGGTCAAAAATGTTTGTAACCATTTTGTTAAGAACATCCAGAATCCACGTTCTCTAATTTAACAAAAGTCAGACCTTTTTGGAAATAATCTTAAAGATCTAGTCTTTAATTCTACTGTTGGCTTTTGTCAACAAAATGATGAATTGGGAGAAGCATTGGGTTGTTGTCTGAATACTGTTGTTAGTGTCACTGACACACAGTACCAGCGACAGTTCAACATGACATTGACTAATCAACTTAACGAGCAGACTCTTTCATCATGGCTTTACAATATTGACTAGTATTGAAGAACTCAAGTGTATGTTTAGTGCTGCAAAGTAGAAAAAAACAAAGAAAGAGAGAAAAAGGATGAAAAAACTTTTAAAAACTGTATGAGTGGGTCAGAAGCCAAGGGTTACAAGTGACAATTTTACCAAAATTAAGTTAAGTATAGAATTTGATAGAAGAAGCAAACAAAATTGTTGGTGGCCAAGGGATACAAGTGAATCTCTGCCCTGTGCTGCTTTCTACTGGAAAAACATAACAACAGCTGAGTATATTTAACAAAAATACTTTAACTTTAAACAGCTGTATCTCAAAACTATGAAAATGTCACTTGTACCCCTTGGCTTCTGACCCACTCATATGTATGTTTGTGTTTTGCGGTGTAGACGCACCCGTAAATCATTATGTGTATGTTTGTGTTTTGTATGAACCTCTAGCGCTATGTTGGCGTATCGGTAAGTCATTTTATATAATGATCATTATATATATATATATATATATATATATATATATATATATATATATATATATATATATATATATATATATATATATATATATATATATATATATATATATATATATATATATTTATAAAATATTATTACTAATAAATCATTAAAATCTAAGAAATATGTTTTAGAATACAAATATATTTTTGTATGTAGTTAACATTTTTTATCTTTAGTATAATTGAGAATAAAGCAAAACTAATCATGCAAAAGTAAGTTTCTTTTTTACTATTTGTATTACACATATTAGTAATACGTTTTTTTTTAAGCATATTGAACATTTAAAAGCATTAATTAAATTTAAAGTTTCAAGATTTGGAAGGAGCCTACCATTTTTTGTACTGCTAACTTTTATTTAAAATTTTTTTATTTGGTTGGCCTCCTCCCATTTTCCCTCCAACCAGAAAAACGCACCCAACTCTTTAATTAATGTATGTCACTAATATTTTTTGTAATTTTATAAAATATCATTTTTATTTTTTATACCATATTTAAATTATTTTCATAATGATAAATATTTATTATAATGATACACTGCATCTTTACAATACACATACACATTAAATTATGATGAAAATAAACGTTTGGTTCCCCTCTGGTCCCCTAAATACACCCGATGGATAGATACCAATGAAAATTTTTAGATCATTTATACACTTATCTTTTGATACCAAATTATAGGTTCATAAAAAAAGACAATTTTTAGGCGGTTTAAGTTATAAAAACTTTGGTCACAGATTTATTAAGAAATACTTGTAATAAAATTTTGTCACTATAATGCTCATAACGTTTTGTAGATTCATCCAAGTTTCATAAAACTTTCAATTTCGTAATGTTTTTTTTTTAAGGTCTTATCAATAATATATAAAGAATACATAAAAAAATAAGCTGATAACAAGTTGCAAGGAAAAAATTACAGACAGTATAACAGAAAAATCAAAAGTTTAAGTACTTTTTTATTATTGCTGAGGAAACATCAGACAGTTCAAATTTCTTTTCGTAATAAGTTTTGTTAATTCTAATTTAGACATAAAGAAAAACTTTTTCAAGTTCAAATATTGTTTAAATTGTTAATGGATACAGAGCAACCTCTGCTACTATTTCTTCTCTACTGAAGTTAATAATAAGTTTTGATTTTATTGTCGCATTATGTATAACAAGAAATGTTTTTAAATAGTTCTTCTAACTCTACAGGCTTTAAAATTGCACACAAAAATAATTGAACACAAGATAAATTGGACACAAGATAAATTGCACACAAGATAAATTGCACACAAGATAAATTGCACACAAGATAAATTGCACACAAGATAAATTGCACACAAGATAAATTGCACACAAGATAAATTGCACACAAGATAAATTGCACACAAGATAAATTGCACACAAGATAAATTGCACACAAGATAAATTGCACACAAGATAAATTGCACACAAGACTGCAATCAAAATAAATATTACAAAAAAAAGTTTGGAACTCAATTTTTTTGCAAAACACAGCTAATACTCCTTCTGAATCCATTTCAAATTTTATTAAATTGCTTATCACTATTGGTCGAAACCATTTGAGTACTGAGTTTTAGTCAAGGTATGATGATACAACTTTGAAGAGTTATATAGCACCTATCTTCTAGTTCATTCTTTCTAATCATGAGTTTCTTCAAAAATGATTGCATAAAATTCAGTGTTCTTGTTATGTTATTTGGAAAAACCAAAATGTTATTAGGCTTATTTATTATTGCAAAACCAAAGGCTTTATCAGGTGAGCTTGACCTGTTAAAAGCAAACTGGTTAAATTTCAAACATGACCTCAAACCTAATATTCCTTAAACATTAAAAGCAAGAAGTTCTCCTTTATTTAAAAACATTAAAATTTATATTAAGTTAATTCCACCTTACCCTAAAACTCATATAAATGGTAACAAACCTTTACTTCACTTCACAAAAGTTATAAGAAATAAAATAGAAAGAAGAATGGTAAGAGGAAGCTGCAAAGCAAAGTAGTAGAAGAAGGCTAAAAACTTAGCTTTCCAAAGAGTTGTTTTTAGATAGTTAATAAGTTTTTTTACAAGTTTGCTATAAACACTTGTGGGTTGTGCTTTTTAAAATTTGAATATAATAAAAGTATAATTTTTAAAATACGTCTTTTTTACTAGAGTTCTCAATTCCCGTGAAAATTTAATTTCCAAGATTCCGTGACAAAATTGTTTTATTTATCGGGATACCGAGAAATACCGGGATTAGGTAAGAAGCAAGAATTAATCAAATTAGGTGGGAAAATTGTAAAATTTAAACAAATACACAAAAAAAATGTGTTTTTGATACTATTATTTTTAATATGAAAAAGATAAAGAAATTAAATACAAAATAATTTATAGAAACTAAGACTCTAAAATCAAATAAAGTATAAACTTCATTAACAATAAATTTTATAAATATTAGTTTTTAAAGTCATTAAAAAAAAAACATAAACTATCAATAGCGTTATCACTTAACGTTAACCGAATTTTCGTAATAAAAAGACCTGTTGCCAAAAAATCTCTTTCTGACTCGATTGATGTCAATGGGATAGTTAACAGAAAATTGTGTAACTTGTCTAAAATATTTCTACAATTTTCAGTACATCAAAAGTATCCATCTCTTTTCCAATATTTTTAACGTCATATAATACATTTTCTGGATGCTGCCATTACGAGTGTTAGTCGATTCAATCAACATTCGTAATGGCAGCATCCAATATTTAATGAAGTATTAATTCAGATGTAGTCGATAAATTCGGTTCAGCCATAAGCGAAATTTTAGCCCCATCATTACTGCATTCTAATTTTACAAAATCAGCGGAAGCACCACCACCATCAATATCTTCAACGAACAGCTTATAAAATAATTGTTTAGCCGTAGTTTGAAAGACTAATTTGTTTTTATAATTTGATGGATTATTTAAACATTTTAAAACAATTCTATGTTGCACATACTATAGCGTTTTAACCAAAAAGCAACATTTTTTATGCTTTTGCGCAAAACATCTAATATAAACACTAATACACACTCTGCATTAAGTAAGGATGCGTTGCGTCAGCCAAGTCTTTCATCTCCGAGTTTTATTGGTTGCAACGCCATTACTACAATTTGCTACACTAAATATTCTTCCTCCGAAATATTGTTGATATTGTTTTGTTTAAAATCCATCAATGCTTTTATTATACATATTTTTGACGCAATAAATTGCTCCAACATTGCATGAAGACTTGTCTTTACATACTTGTCTTTACATCCTTTCATCCTTGTTTTTTCATCCATTGTTTTTTCATCCATTCCACCTTATCTTTACATCCTTTACATCCATTCCACCTTGTCTTTACATCCATCCATTCCACCTTGTCTTACAACACCTTGTCTTACATCCATCCATTTCACCTTGTCTTTACATCCTTTACATCCTAGTGTCCTTACATACCTTGTCTTTTCATCCATTCCATTTTGTCTTTACATCCAGTAATAACTTGAGTTCGTAATTCTATTTGATTTTTAGGTATTTTTGTAAAATTTTATTTTTGAGTAGTGACTTACGAAACATCTGTACAATTTTCCGGATCTTTTGAGCTGTTAGTTCATTACAAATGTTGTCAAATAATTCATCAATGAGCTCAATGTTTCTTAACTTTAATAAATTGTTGTTTTTGCTTGACTGTAAATCCACTGAAGTTGTAAAATTGATTTCTTCAGTCTCGTTATTTTCACTGTTATTTTCATCAGAATTCTGGCTGTTGCATGCATTACACTGCTCACTGGCTGTTGCATGCATTACACTGCTCACTGTTGCATGCATTACACTCACTGCCCGATGAGTTTGAAACCAATGATTTTTTGTAGAGAACATCGCAAACTGCTAAATGTAGACGTTTACAAATTGCATTAAGTGCAGCCAAAATGCTAAATGTAGCATTTGCATAACAAAGTTAATGCTCCATCCCGCCTTATCTTCGAACTTTGTAACGCTAGTGATAAGAAAGTAAATAGTACTCAACTTTCGAGTGATAATATTTTTAATACCTTTAAAAATGGTAAAAAAAAAAATTACCGTAATTCTCATGAAATTTCATTGAAATCCCGCGCAAACATTTTTCACCACCGAGATTCCGGGAAAATGGGATCCCGTTTATTTTTAACCCTTTGTTAATTAGTTATTTTGAAAGTCACACATTTCTGCAAAGAAATTATTTGGCATTGAACAGTAATTAAAATAACATATTTAAAATTCTTTATTGCTGTTGTGTGTGTCGCTAAAATACTAATCAAAAATAAAAAAATTTATATATATACATATCATATTCATATATATATATATATATATATATATATATATATATATATATATATATATATATATATATATATATATATATATATATATATATATATATATATACATATAGTTTTTTTTATTCTTGAATAATATTTTAGCGAATTTATAAGTGATGTTTTTTAGGGAATTATAATATTTTTATAAAATACACTCAACCCGCCAAAGAGGGGATCGAAATTTAAAAAATGGGGTGGGGGATATTTTTTGGACTTACCCTTAAAATTTTCTGTACCCACCCCTGTGTTCTATAATTTTTTGTTGTATTTAGATGTGAATAGAATAGATCGTTATCAGAAATAAAATAATGCTACAAATATTAATTAACGTTACAAAATAAATCATAATAAAAAATTAAAAAAAGCAATTATTTTTTGATATTAACAAACTTTTTAGCCAAAGGTTTTATAAAAAATCTTTTAGCCAGCTATTAGAATCAATTTTATTACAAAACTATAAGGTATTCATTATGGTGTTAAACTTTTTTCAATAAAATCTTTCGAGTGTATAGCGTAAATACAATACGGAACTTCTTTCACTGAAACATTTTTTACGATTTATTATTTTATGGTGTATATTTAATGTTTATACTTTTAACATTGAATAAAGAAAAATTTTCTCAAGCTAATATCTAGTATCACTATATCATCTCATATCAAAGTTCGACTTATCAAGAATTTTCTTTGGTCGAACATTAAGTCGAACCTTTTCTTTGGTCTCATAGAGGTGCGAGTTATCGGAAATTAACTGAAGCTTTAAAAATTTCCTTGGTCTCTTAGAGGTCGGAAATTAACTGAAGCTTTAAAAATAAGTTAAAACTACTATTGTTTTTATGTTAAAAAATAAATT